GAAACTTTGAATCTAAGGATTTTGCTTGGCATTCTATTAATGAGGTAGTTGTCTGTGAACATTATATCTCTTTAGAACACTTTTGGGACATTGTGAAAAAATATTATGGGCCTAGATACCTCAAGGAGATGTTTATTATTCATTTTTGTTATCTCATTTTGTTGCGGAGTCAACACAATGGATGATACTATTCTTTGCAAGATAGGGTCCAAAAATTGACTTTAAGTATTCTTTTGTATTATCAATTTTGAGAATCTAAGTTTTGCATTGGAACTGAGTGTAAATCATGTCATAGAATGACTGAAAGATTTGTATAGTTTTAGATTTATTTTCATGACAAAATATCCAACCGGTTCTAGTGTGATCATCAATGAGGGAGATAAACCATCTGACTTTATTACTGGTTTTTTATTTTGAAAGTTCTCAAATGTCATTGTGGATGATAGAGAAAGGATGTGAGAATTTGTTCTGATACGGAAGATATAAATGACAAGTTCCTGAGCCAATTGGCATCTTTCACATTGATAAGACACTGACTTTTTATTAATAATAGATGTAGGTACAACTTTGCAACATAATGAAAGTAGAATAACCTAGACGAAAATGTCATAATTAAACTTAGTTTTCAACAGACTCAGACACAACAAAATCAGAAACATGAGAAGAGGATAGTGGAGAAGACCCTTGTGTGTTAATAGAATAACTCTCTTTGAGCAGGTATTGATTTTGATGCAATTCAACACTGTTAATCACCTCGACCATCTGAAATTTGCAAGAGTTATAATAAAATTTAGGAACACAATTCATGTCATGAATAGGCTTGCTAATTGAAAGTAAGTTGCAGTCTAGTTGGAGAACATATAACATAGAAGCAAGCTAAATATTTTTAGAGACTTTCACAATTCTTTTTCCAATAATCCTGGAGTGGGATCCATCGACAAGTTTAACAAATTTGAAGTTGGTGATCTCTTGTTAGTTGATGAGAGCATGATTGTCTCCAGTCATATAATCAGAGACACCTGAATCTATTATCCAAAGTCTAAATATGTCATTGTTAGCAAGATAGGAGGATATTATATCTTGGTGTATCATCAACCTGGTAGACTGCTGAGTCGTGCTAGTAAGAAGCTTCTTCAAAACCTCCAACTATTCCTTGGTGAAGGGACTAGGGTTGGCCAACCTTTCAGAAAAGTAGTAACATGGGCTTTGTTGTACGGGTCCTGTCTTCCTTGACTATGTTTCCAATCTATAGGTTTTTCATGTAGTTTCCAATACTTGTCCTTTGTGTAACCAAGTTTCTTACAATGTTCATGTACGGGACAATTCTTCTATCGCTTTGAATCAAGGGAGGAGTTATGTGTGTATAAAACTTAGTTTTTCAGTGTTAAATGAACCTACACTTCCTGCCATCATGAGTTTCTTCTTTATTTCTTCTTATCTAACTTCAGCAAAGGCTTCCCTAATGGTAGGAAGTGGTTTTATTCCCATGGTTCTTCGTTTGAACTCATCTAAGTTCTTTTAGACCCAGTAAGAACTTAATCATCTTCTTCTCTATTATTAATTTATGCATCATAGCATTTTGTGGGCACTTTCTTACATATGTATCATACATATCTAAACTGTAATCAGTACATTCATAGTGTTGAAGTATAGAGTAACATTTAACTCTTTTTGTCAGAGCTCATGCAGTTGTCTCAATTTCAAACAATTAAAATACTTCAATAATTTTCACAAAGTGCTTTTTAAATCTCCTATGCCATCCTGTAAAGCAAGAAATAATTACAGCAATTCCATAGAACAACATATTGCACAGCTTCAACAAATCGTGTTTGTTTTGAATGAAGCAAACTAGTTATTAATTTTAAAAAAATTGCTTTATCGGCAACGATTGCATCCAAGTAGTTGATGAGACAATTCATAGCATCGTGGAATGACCAACACCAATCAATAATCATGCCATAAAAAGTTTTCCCAGCCTTGCTACTTCTATCGTTGATTCATCCATAATTTCAGTACTGTTGTTACTCCCATCACAAACTATCTTAAGAAGGAAATTTTTTATTGGTGATTGAATAAGGCGCTAGTTTCATTATGTTGAAAGAAAATTTTAGCTGCACCCCCAGTTTTAGCACATAATTTCAAGGGAGCTTTTAATGTAGAAGTGGATATGAGTGTCACGGAGATAGGTGCAATTCTTTCTTAGGAGGAATGACTGCTTGAACTTATCAGGGAGTAGCTTAATGAGGCTTTCCAAAAATGGATGAGATATGGGCAATAATTATATGCAATCATTCAGGCACTTGAACATTGGGAGAATTATCTAATTCACGTAGAATTTGTTATGCACAGTGGCTACAAGCACTCAAGTATCTCTTTTCAGACATATTAAAAAGAATTCTCGGATGCATGCTCAATTATTTCTAGCCCTATAGAATTTTATTTTTGTCTTGCCTTCGATCTGGACCACTCAATAAGGCTATAGGCACTGTAAGCTTTTGGGATGCTCTACTTACTACCATACAGGTAGAGCTAGTGAGTTTTAATAGCATTAAAAACCAATGCAATAATGATGAAGATTTTGGCATAGTTTGGAAGCAGTGCCGTTAGCATTCCACCTCTAATGATTATAATGTACTACTGAGATTTCTGCTCAAAGGGGGACAGCTTTGTTTCCCACGGACTTCTCTCCGTGAAAATGTCATATAGGACTTACACCAAATGATTTGCTGCTGTATGGATTGGGATGGGATCTTAGCCATTGCTGAGGAGCATGACTATAGGCTGTGAATGATACAAGGCATCAGTAAGTTTCTGCAGTGGTGCGGAGTATTCCAGTTTGCCAAAGGACATTTGTAGAATGTCAACTTCTATGCCCATTGCCTATTTTAAATGGCATATAGGAAGATATCAGCATGGATTTCGTATTGGGTTTACTAATGACTGAGCAGAAGAAGGATTTTCTCTTTTTTTTTGTCAACATGTTCTTATAGATGGGCTCATTTTATCCCTGGTTGGAAAATTGCTGATGCTTTAATGTTGCTAATTTATTCTCTAAAGAGATTGAGTATTCAGAACTATATACTTCAGATTTTGTTGTCAAATTTATGAATTATTTTTTGGTGTGTTTCATGTAAGAAGTTCAACACAGCTTTGACCTTCAATAACACTTCTATCATCCACAAATAGACAAGTATACCGAAGTAGTTAATCTCACTGTTGGATCAATGATCTAAACCATCGCAAGGGATGGCCGAAATCATGGGACAAAGCACTTTCCCAATCCAAATTTATCTTTAATATGTTAATTGGCCATTTTTTCACTCTCCATTTTCTATTGTATACAGTAAAGGGAAGAATGTGGTTATTGACCTTAGGGAATTACCTTCAGAGGTCATGTGCAGGACTGCTGAGGAGATGGCATATCATTTGATTATTACACTGTGAGGTAATGCAATAAATTAAATCCCCCAATGAAAGTATGAAGCATTAGTTGGTTGTTACAGATGCCACAAAATTTTCCATTGGAATTAGTTATGATTCATCTCAACAAAGCAGTTATCCTGTTGGTACATTCAAGAAGTTACTGTTTGAAAATGATTGGCCTGTTAGCTATATGGAAGAAAGTAGGTTATAGTGCGTATGTCGTTGACCTGTTTGACCATTGGAATACTTTTAGAACTTTCAGCATCAAAGATACTTTCCAGTATTAGCCCCGTGATGCTGCTAACATCTATGAAGAGAACTCAGAATAGAGTTCTTCTGAAGACGAGGGAAATTGATGCAGCACTTACATGAGCCAAGATGGGTACAGAACTTGCCAGAGACAAAAGGGGCTATCTTATTTCCCTTATTTTCCTTGTTTTACTAGCATATAATGAAGTAATATCTTTTCTTGCTATATTAGTGAGTTAACTTAGTTGCTTTGTACATTTCTTTTCTATATTCGGACAACTCGGCTGTCGTTGACCTTATTCAGAGGCCTTTTTGTGCATCTGTATGGAGGATAGTAGAGAAATGAAAATTGGCCAAACATTATCATCCCAATTTTGCTTTTAGTTTTCTCTGTTCATTTGGTATTGCTCCATTTAAGGAAAACACTTCTCCTTAGAGTCAGCTCTTGTTTTCTCTTCTGTGCTACCTATAATATTCTTGTTTAAAGTCATGTACCAACTTCTTCTCTTTCTACTCATTATCGCCATAATGGATTTGGTAGAGATGTCAGGATGGTGAGGCACACAATGGACAAGAAGAAGAGTACGAGAAGAGTTCAGGAGGTTTAGACAAGAAAGTTCACTTTGCATGAAAATAGAATCAAGCTTTTTTGTGATAACAAAACCAAAGAAAAAGCTTAAATATTTTCCTTTTCAATTGACACAACCCAACCAATGTCTGTCTTTGACGGAACTATAACCTACACAGGTCGGATAGGAATGCTATAAAAGTCAGGCTGTTTGGGGAAAATTTAAGTGGAAGGGTTGAATTGCGGTAATTTTTCCTCACTTATCGCTTACATGCAAAAATGATAATTGGCATTTTTTTTTTATTTCATTTCAGTTGGTTGATCTTCAGTTGAATGCTCGAGTTTTGTAGTGTTTAACATATTAGAAGCAGGAAATGAGTCTATTTGTCAATTTGTGAAAATGATTTAGATTTATAGAGGGCAATCAACTCATGCAATTTTCCTGTTCTTTAATCTTCTAACAGGGCTGCCTGTCTTCCTAGATGAGGTTACTATTTCTCTCAAAAAATGGCAAAATTGGAAAAGATAAATTATGCACGCTAGTTTGCTAATAATCTTAATTATCTTTATGTAATTATATTATATCACTGAACACTCAGATTTGAATTGTATGCAGTGTACCAATGCTATGTTGTGATCTCTTTATTCGTCCCTGATTCCTCTTTTTGCTTTTTTATAGTACCTATTTAAATAAAAATTTCATTTTTATTGTGGTTAAGGACTGAATATTAATGTAATCATTCACGCTAACTTTTTTTAGAGCTGTTCGTGCTATGAACGAAACATTGAAGCAAAATCGTCTATTGAGGGATCATGGTGATGATCGCTTGGTTTCATGCTCTGGAAATAAGAACACAAGTGACCCAACAAAGCATGTATGTGACTCTGGTTCAACTACTTTCTGCTATAGTCCGCTGTTTCTTGTTCTATATCATAACTAGGCTAGTGGAAGATGATCTTTACTATTGAGTGCTGGTCTCTTGCCTCTTGGTTTCATCATTATATATTACATTCACATGGCTATAGCATAGCTATTTGAAATTCATCAGCTTTAGTCTTCTAATAAATTTTACACTTCACATTTATTTATAAGTAATTCTAGATTGATTACGTTATTAAGTTGCGTTGTTTTGGTTTTTTTTTCTCATTGAAATAGTTGGTGGCGTATCCATTTAGTACTAGGGAGGAATCAGTTTACAGAATTTTAATATCATCTTTCAGATTATGCTTTACTTGAATCCAAACTTTGGTTTTATTTTTATTTTTATTATTTTTTTAGCACTTCCATGGAGAGAGTACATTCAGAATTTGTGAGTTGGGATTTTTCCTAATAGTTCTGCTATAGTGCTAGAGGCATGATGATAGTGGAAATAGTTAAATTATGAGCATGCCATAGTGAACATTTGGCTCTGCATTCTGATTCATTCTGATTCATTGTTATTGTCGGTTATTATTCATTGTTTGTAAGATTTCTGTTAAGTTTGTTATTTGGTTCTTCTATTTTCGAGATGTCTATCATTTTCTAGATTAAGATGATGCTGTTATTTTCACGGCTTGTGGATGAATTTATGCCTTTAACTTTGCTTGAAGGATGGATCTGGAAGCATTTCTACTGAATTTAGTGGAAGTTTAAGGAAGCAGACAAATTCCGCCCAAAAAGCAGTATCATTACCATCATCGCCTCATGAGGGAGGACAGAACTCTGAAAGAAGTGGTCCTTCTCATTTTTTGAGAACAGAAGATTTTGAATCAACATGGAACAATGTTCTTCAGACCCATTTTCTGAATAAACCTTTGCTACCTTTCGAAGAATGGAATATTGACTTCTCAGAGTTGACTGTCGGTACTCGTGTTGGTATAGGTAAATGTTTTTTAACTTAAACTTAGACAGCCTAGAAACAGTAGTTTTACGCTTTTACTATTATTTATTCCAACTATAATGAATGTTGTTGCAAGGGGTTATTTTATTAGAATTATCACTGTTTTCTAATTTCTTTGTTCCTTGGAATTTGCATCATCACCGCTAGGGTTCTTTGGAGAAGTTTTCCGTGGCATGTGGAATGGCACTGATGTGGCCATCAAAGTTTTTCTAGAACAAGATCTGACAGCTGAAAACATGGAAGACTTCTGCAATGAGATCTCAATTCTCAGGTGCCAATCAACTCTTCGTGTTAACTTAATCTCATTTTGGTTGCAGTTATTTTATTTAGTTTTTTATTTTTTCATTATCCATGTGCATTTCTGACTGTAGGGTTTTGTTTCTTTTCTTGCAGCCGACTCAGGCATCCAAATGGTATTAGTGTTTCCTCCATTATCTATTATTTAAATTTTCTATGCTAGTTTTTTCATTTATTCTTTTACTAATTTTAATTTTATTACATACAATATGATTTCCTCTGTGAAACATGACAATAGATGTTCCTGCATTCCTTGCTCATAACAATTGCTGAATTTTTATTTTATAGTTATATTGTTTATGGGCGCATGCATGAAACCTCCTTATTTGTCGATGGTTACCGAATACATGGAGATGGGCTCTTTGTATTATCTAATACACATGAGTGGCCAGAAAAAGAAACTGAGTTGGCGTCGAAGATTGAAAATGATTCGTGACATATGCAGGTGTGTCTAAACCCTGACACTTGTTTCATGCAATGATTTCCTATTGTAACCAATGAAACTTACGATTGGCTGCAATTATTTGCATACACTTGAATGATAAATAAGCTTCTTTTTTTTTTTTCCTGTAGGGGGTTGTTGTGCATTCACCGTATGAAAATAGTTCATCGCGATCTAAAAAGTGCAAATTGCTTAGTGAATAAGCACTGGACTGTAAAGATATGTGATTTTGGCCTTTCACGATTGATGAAGGATGTTCCTATGAAGGACGAAACTTCTGCGGGCACTCCAGAATGGATGGCTCCTGAACTCATCCGCAACGAGCCAATCACCGAAAAATGTGACATCTTCAGCCTTGGAGTCATAATGTGGGAGCTATTCACACTCAGTAGGCCCTGGGAAGGTGTACCAGCAGTTCAAGTAAGCTATATAAAGCTTCTCTAAAAATTTTGTTTCTTGCCTCAAATGTTTAATTTGTAATAAATTTTTTACTCAGGTGGTATATGCCGTTGCCAACGAAGGATCAAGATTAGAGATACCCGAGGGTCCCCTTGGCAAACTTATCGCAGGTATGTACCCCGAAGAAATATTTATTCCTTCCACTATTATATTTGACATGCTTTTTAGGTACATTATGCAATTCTTTAATTGTTATTTTCTTAAAGATTGTTGGGCAGAACCCAATGAGCGGCCTAGCTGCCAGGAGATCTTTACAAGGCTGCTTGACTGTGAGTATACCCTGTGTTAATTTCATCACCTCTTGCCTACATGTATAGCAATGTAGAGCGATTGAACTTTGTTCAATGTGTCTGTAAATTTTTCCAATTTTCCCTTCTCTTTTTTGGAGTGATATCTTTGTACTTATATTTATAGTTTCCCACAACCTAAAATTATGAGATTGCTTGATCCTGCGGCGCATGAAATAAGACAATTTACTTGGTCTGGAAGTTTTGCTTGTTCTTATATATAACCACCGAGGACACTGTTTTTTTTTGGAGGTTTGTTGAATTGTTTATTAGTTGAACTAGCCCTCCAATCTTTATTGTAAAATATTTGATTTCTTCCGGAAGTCCTTATTTTTGTGGAAATGTTAGTATGGTATGGAAACATGCGTTTTTAACTGTTGCAAAGGTATCATCATCAAACATAAATAATTACCTGTGCTACCTTGTTTATTGAGAAAAAATATTACATCAGTACTACACACGTTAAAATAACGTGCTTAGCCAATCAAATCACGCCACCCCGCGCGACGAAGAAAAAAAAAACGGCACAGTAACACAGCGAATATTCCCTCCTGTGTTATTCATGTGTTATTGCACGGTATTCATGTGTTATTGCGCAGTATTCATGTGTTATTGATGTGTTATTGTGTTATTATAACATTATTATAACATCAAGAATATTCAACATCAAGAATATTCTCAGGATACAATAGCACATGAATAACACACAATAATACTTGAATAATACGGAAAATATTTCCGACAGAGAAAAAAAACGGCGCAGTAATACGGGGGAATATTCTCTCCTGTGTTATTCTTGTGTTATTGTGCATTATTCATGTGTTATTTATGTGTTGTTGTGTTATTATAACACCAGAAATATTTTCAGGATACAATAACACATGAATAACATGGAGAGGAATATTCGCTGTGTTACTGTGCCGTTTTTTTTTTCTGCGTCGCGCGGGGTATCGTGGCGTGATTTCATTGGCTACGCACGTTACTCTACGTGCATAGTACTGATGTAATATTTTTCCGCTTATTGAACAGTTAATCTCGCATAATCCAGGATGATTCTATGGGGACTATATGTGTTTGTAGAATATGAGGAATAATTAATTGATCATGCAGCCGGCTTTTAGTGTAAAGATGGCTGGAAAAAAAAATGGGGCAATTACATACATTCACCCTCTCATCCAATTTTTAAATTCCCTCTGGAATATCAAAATTCATGATAAAATTTTAACTCATTTATTTTTATTTTTATAAAGTTATCAATGATTTAATTGTGGCATGTATAAATGAATTGGTTTGGAAGCTCAAAAAATCATCTTGGGTGCTTGTTTTGTAAATATGAATGTTTCGGTGCAGTAGTTTACCTGCCAAAAGTATGAAGGATACCATGAATGCAAAGAAAATCACCAAGCTAAAGATCGTTCTTATTGTACGACCCTGGATTTGAAATTCTTCAATAATTTCACTCAATGGTGAAGTCAGAAATTTTATTTAGGGGCACAATCTATACTATTTAAAAAATAACTTCTTTTTTTTATTATAGTTCAATAATTTGATAGAGATATATAATTTATTAGACAAGTCATCTTAAGCTTAAATTTTAAAAATAATAATGCTTTCTCTATTATGAATTAATTAAGTAAATATATATTGTTATTTTAACAAGATTGATACTTTAATCTATTTGATCCAGCTGACTTTGGTCTTCCAATTGAATTGTTATTCCTTTTTCTTATCTTGAAAGCAATGAGAATGGAGTTCTGCCGTTCATGTTGCCATTCGATTGAGGCATTGCTGAAGCAATGGAAAACTATTGCAGCAAATGCATTGTAATTGGTGTATATGATTGTTGGTCATTAATCAAGGTGATGGATTTCAGTCAAATAAGAAATAATACCATCTTAATCATCCAATTAAGGTAAAATTAATTGGGATTATCGCTATCCGCAACAATGAGAGAATTTTGTTTGGTTATCTTGATCAATCTGTGTTAATTGTACTACACATTTATCATTTCAGTTAAGTTATATCTCAATAGATCTAAATTTAAAAGATTAATATTTACTTTATTATCTGATAATATGATTAAGGGTCCGTTTGGAGCAGCTTATAAGTGCAGACGGCGTTTTTAAAACGTCGTCGTACTGTTTGGTTCATGTGTTTCGTCTGTTTATTTGAAACCGCGTTTGGGTTTTTATACTAAACGTAGGCCGCAGGTCGAACACTGCGGGCAAGCTTCCCCAAATGCACTCTAAATTAGCAAACATTTATAAAATGTAGTTTTGAAAGAAAATAGCGACAGCAAGTCTTAGAAAGATTTCAAAGTATGTTGGAGAAAAAATAAATATAATTAAATTATTCAATATTATGGTTTAATTATTTTACATTCAACCGTATCAATATGATGGTAAGGCATGTTAGATTTAACAAAATTATATGAAATTAAGAAATTTAAGTTGATTTTTCGATAAATCATGTCATGATATTTTTGATAGATTTTTTTCTAAGAAAATTGATGCAATAATTTATTTATGGATTTATGTCCTATTTTTCTTGCCATGTTAATTTGATAGGAGCATGCATTATGATGGTTGGTCAAATATATTTACTCTTATGCATAATAACATTTTATTTTTTTTATAACATTTAAAGGACGTTCCACATAAAGATACCGAAAAGAAATATCTTTTTTTCATTAAAACAAATTGATAAAGCATGAAAAATGAATCTTATTGTTTTGTTTTTACTATATATCAATATGAAAGATTTTTTTATATTTTTTTTTCTAAAAAACATATTCCTTAGCTTGAAATTTGTGAATAACCAAGCTTCCTCATTTTTTTTGAAAAATAATAAATTTTCATGGTTATATCGAGGTGTTCTAAATCTTTGTATGTAAAATTGAAATTGATTAAAAGCTTTTATAGATATTTTACTTTTCTTTAATGAGCCGCCCTCTCCATATTTATTGGCTCATTTGTAATTTTGCATTTTTGAAGTGCTGTAATATAAAATTTATTAGTCTAAGAAGATTGGTGGGCTTCCTATAATTGAAAGGTGTTTGGTTAAATTTTATTTTGGAAAACATAGTAATGAAATTTGAAGTGATGTTAGTCATGAATTCATGTCATATTCTTAAAAGAAATTCTACATAAGGATAACAAAAATGAGTTAAATATTTAAGGATTTGGTGGTGGCATGTTCCACACAACCTAATCTATGCGTCCAATAATGCATATTGAATTCCAACCTTAGGCCTGGAAGTTGTTTAAAACGGGTTTAATTTAGGAAGCTTAAGTTATCATTTACTTTCTTTTTTTTTTCTACCTTTTAAAATAATGGGACATGAATAATGTGTGTTAATAACTTAGTAGCAACAAGTGAAGCAATCGTGTTAGAAAGTATTTATAGCATAGCCTATGTGGCAAATCAAACCAAATCAGTTCACTGTGAACCAATAGAGCATGAAGTCAGCCACCTCACCGTCATTGCAAAATATTTGTTCGCAACACTCATGATGCGGTGATATTGATGCCGCATAATTAAAATATCATGTTCGCCATGAACTTAATTTAGGGGGACCATGCCAATTTCTAAGGCACCTTATCATATGACCACTAGTGCACTCCATGAGCTCACGGTTCAATTGCAAGGATTGCTTAATAAAGGATTTATCTGACATAGAATTTTATCCAGGTGAGCACCAATCTCGCTAGTGAAGTATAAAGATGAGAGCATGATATTGTGCATGATGACTCTCACATCATCCGGTACAAGCAACGAGTAAGTAAAAAAGATCTATATCATAAAGAAGTGCTAGAGTGCATTTAGTGCATGAAGCATTGCCTACTTGTCATGCCTCTTTCCTTCTTCTTCTGAAACCAAAACATCAAGTCTTCTCCTCCCTCCTTTCCCATCATCCAACAATAAAAATATCAAATAACTGTTCAGTATCCCATCGTCCAAAATGCATGCACCCATTCTAGCTTTATTAATGCTATTAAAATAACAATGAGTAAAATGTTGAATGCACCCAGTCATTATATCCATATTTCTCTTAGGGATGTTTGCATATTTTTAATATGATTTAGTTGCAAATTAAACTTAAATCCTATGCACGTTTTTTTACTTTCTGTCTGAAAATCTTATGCTCAAGTCTCTTTCGCAATGTAAATAAGGATTTAATAAATTGGATTGCGAGACAAATTATGAATTTTATTTCGCCGTCGCTCATGAGATTCATCACAGCGATATGATTTATTAAATTTGATAAATCCTATTTAATGTAAATTCATATTACGACCAAATACTGCCTTATTCTTTTGATTTTAAATACTTCATTATTGTATGTTTGATCATCGCCCTAAATAATCTTAATAATTAAATCTTTGGGGGCCACTAACTTTAACCTCTTACTAGTGATTAACATATTATATCATGAATTATGATGAAATTATATTCTCTTAGAATCGTTCACACATGCAAACTCTGAGAGGACAAAGATCAGGGTGAAGTTCGATCAAATAGGAGTGGGTCATTTTCTCTTGTGCTCATCCAAACTATTTAACCCATTTTTATCCCTATAGCACAAAACTCCTTCACAATTCAAGATGATAACATTGCTTGCTTTTCCTATTCCACCGCGTGCTTCCATATTATCCTCATTTCATTTTGATTTTTCTATTCCACCCAAGCCTAAGCGAGGAGAGATTCGAACCCCAAATCTATGTGCTCTAATTTTCTGATTTACAAGTCCACTTGCTCAATAGTCGCATCTGTTGCTCTCTCCATTCCGCAAGAGAAAAAAATACGGTTATTCTTGATATAGTGGTTGAGGGTATAGTCTCTCATTATGAGGTTGCGGGTTCGAACCACACATATTGCCTTTTGGACTCATTTTACTTGAAAATGAGAGTATATTATCATTTTGAAGAAGCTAGCACAAAGCCAGGAGCAGAGGAAATAATTATGTCCAATGAACCGTCTTTTAGAAAATGACGATGATCTAACCACATCATCATACTTTTTATATGATAAAAAATCACCAATATCCGACATGATAATTTTTATAGAAACAGAGAGTTACTCTTTTTTTCAGCCTAAGATTTTCTGACTCTCTGCGCCAATCCCGTTATTGCTGACTGAAAAAATCTTTGGTCACAATCATTAGTAGGGTGTGATAGGAAACATTATTTATTTATTTATTTATCATAGACTAGATATATATTACTTCCAAATTATTGATTTATAGTTTTGTAGACATGAATCTAACCATGTTGACACGCTTCCTAATAGTTATTGGACTACTATTTCTTCAATAGAAG